CGGAGCACTTTTTCGTAGCACTTCACTATACTTGTTGGAATTTTATTTCTTACACATTTGACTACAATAATTTTTAATTCCCATTAAATAAATTTTAGTGAAAGTTTGTACACTTGTGAAATTATGACTGGTGGCAATTTTGATGCGTTTGACAGTTGTCAAAATTTTGCAGTCACTAACTTGAAACCAGGTAACGAATTAAATAATTATTTACACTTTGCACAATCTTTTGGTTTTTTTTCAGGAAATTTTAATGATGTGGACGGTTCGATGAATTATGGAAGACTGGCTACCTAGAAGCCATACAATAGTTTTTATAAATGACTGACAAAAGAAGAAGTTGTCATGGATACATAAATTTGGAATTTCATGAAATTTTTACTTTGAAATTGTGCCTTTATGCTTGTACTATACAACACAACACTGATGTATTTGATTTCTACACATTTTGCTGAAAATTTTGATATCTAATTCTTTATATTACGATTATATTTGAGGTTATTATAGATTTTCGCTATTTTATCAAAATTTGTGCAAATTACGGTGTTATACTTAATTCCATGCCATTAGTCTTGTTTCTTAACACTTATTTAACATTACTTTCACTATTTTATACAGTTTTATGTTATACAAATCGTCTAATAATGAAATTATTTTAGGTACACCGTTCTTTAACATTCAGTACTGTTTTTACACTATGTGGAATGTATATCAGGATGCAAATACAGTCTTGGATGCACAGAAAGTCTTATGAACACAATACAAGTCAGTTTACACATGAAAAGTATCATTTATACAATAAATTTTTACATAATATCACATCAAGGTTTGACATTTCGAAAATCGCTATCAGAGTCATATACAGAACGTTAATTTTAATTCCACTCATAAATATCAATGAAAGGTATGCTAAATTTTACTTATAGTCTTATTTAAATACAAGGTTTCTATTTATAAGTGTAATGTTAATTTGTTCTCCGAGAATTCTAGCTGTCAAAATCTTGTTTATTTAAATTTCCCTAAACCAGTGCTTCTATCTGGTGAAAACCTTTACAGAATTGTACTGGGTGATACATTTTAATTTTCTAGTACATATTCTTGCCTTTGTTAAACTTTTTAATTGAAAATTTTATATTGTAACTTTATTTTGACATATGGATTTTCTCATGTAACGATCTTTGCATTTTTGTGTATAAAACTTATACTATGTGCTAAATTATATTTCTCATTTCATAAATATTTAGTGTGACACATCCCTGTTTTATCTCTCAACGTTATATTTTGAAATTTTCATGTATTGAGTACTTGGTTCTCGTTCTTGGCCCTTAATATCATAACAATATATATACAGGGTGTCTCACATTTAAATAGCAGGACTTCAGGAATCAGTAGAAGACCTCATTTTGAGTCTAAAAGTTCCTATATACAGGGTGTCTCACATTTAAATAGCAGGACTTCAGGAATCAGTAGAAGACCTCATTTTGAGTCTAAAAGTTCCTATATATATATGGGTCCTAAAACGCTTAGTTTCTGAGATACAGGGCGTTCAATTTTATTTTTGTTTTATTTATTTATTTTTTAACTAAATAACCGCTGACAAAAAAAATCATCATGTTGCGGCGAAAGACTTAGTATTTNATTCAGTGCAGGAATGAGGGAAACCTGGAAAACCTCATTAATTAGGGGGGTGGTCAAATGCCAACCGGTGTCAATCTCTCACATTGACCCAAGCCAACATTCTTCCACCCTACCATACCTGCACAGAGGGTGCCAATCCTCCATACAAGCATAGATAATCTACGGTCTACCGGCCGCGGAATTCGAAACCCGGGCAGATCGACACATCGATTTAAGTACTGACGCCTTAAACCGTGCGGCTATCGACCGTGTATATCTTTGACTAATTCTAATATAAAAAGTTCATATGAACATGGGTCCGCAACGGCTCTTTCTAGGCTCTTATTTTAAAAATATGTACGGTTCTAACACAGTAATTATGTAAAAAATGGCGGAGGCGCCGCTCGTTGAGCACTGTAACATAAAATCTCAAATATTTACTAAACTGTTAATTTGACCGAGTTTTTTTTAAACCAAAAGGGTATTATACAGTTGGCAAATTCTTCACGGAATTTATTTTTCATACAGGCAGATTGCGATCGTCATCTATGCAAGAATTCTGGGTTGTTAACCATTGGGCCGTCCCTGGCGTTCTGGTCATAATGAAGTTTCACTTACGACATCAAAAGTAAGTTGTTTGCATGTGCACCGATCACCAAATTTGCATCATGTTGAAGTTAATAGTTTAGAGACTGTAAATAAAAATTACTTTTTAATTTTCACCTTTGAGGGCCCGAAATTTGTTAACGAAGGATCGTATGAAAAAAATTTATATGAAGAACTAATATTATTTTAACCTCATCTATTTGTACTCCACTTTTTTTATCAAATACCGGGACACCTTGTATATAAAAAAAATCAAGGTGTCAAGATGATTGTGACCAATTGTTTATGAAAAATATTTTCTAATTATTTATTCAAAGATTAAAAAAATTATACATATTTATTTATAAAGTACAGTGACATTCAAGTAGATTAACAGATTTCATTATTTATTTGTATGTTATTTTTGGATTAACTCTAGAAATTTACAATTATGTTTGTACTTTAAATGCTTGCAATTAATTGGTTGTGAGCAATGCTTCAAAGTTCCAATCGAAACAAAAAAATCCAGAATCTGAAGTAGCTGATATGGAAAATAAGTCATCGGTTGTACAAATTGACATGAAAGATAAAAGTAAAGTGTGTTTATCAGTTGTTTAAATATTACCCTTAATTAACATTTTTTAAATAATTTTCAGTAATAATTATTGTTTGGTACTTTCTAAGTTATTTTATTTTATGTTTTACATAAATATTAAATCAATACAAGGTCGGAAAGTCGCCATGGTTCATCGGCCGTTACGTGAGAGCGATAAAGATAGTCATAGAAATCCGTGCGATAGAGAAAGATGGCTATAATGAAGGCGTCTAAAAGTCATCGCCCATTTCGCCCTTCCACAAATAAGATCCACTTCTTATTTAGAATGATTTTGTGGATTATTAGGTATTAGGTAACATATATTTAATAACATTATGAGTGATTATTGTACATACAACGCTTCATATCCTGTATGGTTCTTGTGCATAAAACGCATATTAATAGAATTAAAATATTCTGGCTTTGCCTAAATTTAGTTTTGTGTGTCACAATCAGAAATATTTTGACCTAAAATTTTGAAATGTGACAGGTATTCAATAAGAGATTATCAGCTAAGCCAATAATTTGCATTCTCAAATAGTTGAACTATAATGTTTTTACATATCAGATACGGGAATATACAGGTTATTACAAATTCGCTTCTCACTACAGGGATCTCGGAAAACGTAAGAGGTACGAAGTAGCTTAAATGGGGGCAAAGTAGCGTAATCAGGGGACCAGCATTATAACTCTAAAAAATCAAGATTAACATTATTAGTTTACGAAATATTTAAAAAAAACGAAATTTTGGAAATCCGTTTTTGTTTCATTTCAGCCTTGTTTGAGGTGATATTGAAAAAAGAAAAACACTTTCTCATGGCCATTTTTTGCCCTCTATCTAATGGCATAATCAATTTTTATATGTAACGTTTCGTCTCTCCAGGACCATCTTCAACTTTATTTTTTTAAATACGACCCTAGAAATATTATTACATTTTTTGCAAGCCTTCATGATACCCAATACGGTACTGCCTCAGCCCGAAGCAGATTCAGAGGTTTTGTCCCGAAAAATTCATCTTCAGTGTATTCGTTCCAAATTTATCTAAATTTTTTATTTAGAATTTTTGTTTATTGAATTATCGTACACTGTAAGTATCGTTACACCCTGTGAAATCCATCTAGTTATTTAAATTATTACCACCACGCGTTACAATAAAACATTTATTGTTATTAACTATTACCTACCATCACTTGGTCATATATAACTCAATAAGTTTTGCGTCAAAATTAAAACATTAAAATTTTAATTTTATTATGACAAATTAATTCTTAAAAATGCATATGAACAACCAAAATGCCAACTGAATATTATATTCTTTAAAAAATTTCAGTAAATGTTCAAAAACATTTTCGTTTTGGCAAAGGTTGAAAATGAAGATCAGATTAAGATTATCGGAATTTATTATATCTGTAACCGCAACTGTGAAAGAGCATGTCAGATGTATTTGTATGAATATCCTGAAAAAAATAGATCGGAATTTGTTTGAATTTTGAGCACTCGAGAAGCCTAGAAATAACTATGGACACGGAAATAAAACTCTAATAATTTTTTATTTTCACGCATGGTGGTAATAGTTTAAATAATTAGATGGATTTCACAGGGTCTAATGACACTTACAGTGTACGATAATTCAATAAACAAAGAAATCTAAATAAAAAATTTAGATAAATTTAGAAGGAATACACTGAAGATGAATTTTTTGAGACAAAACGTCTGAATCTGGTTCGGGCTGAGGCAGTACAATATTGGGGTTCATCAAGGCTTGCAAAAAATGTAATAAAATTTCTAGGGTCGTATTTAAAAAAAATGAAGTTGATGATGGTCCTGGAGAGACGAAACGTTACATATAAAAATTGATTATGCTATTCGATAGAGGATAAAAAGTGACCATGAAAAAGTGGTATTCTTTTTTCAATATCACCTCAAACAAGGCTGAAATAAATCTCTTACCGTTTCCGAGATCCCTGTAGTGAGAAGCGAATTTGTAACAGCCTGTATATTAAAATCCGAGTATAATAGAAGTAAAATATGTATGTTTGTGTATTTAAAAATCATTGCACCCAAGTGTACGTACACCCCGAGTGTACAGATTTTTTCTTTCGTTATAAGTAGATCTACAAGATAAATCGCTTTTAATATATCTCTGTCTACCTCCATTATAGATAAAAACTCAAGTGTGTTTAAGAGTTGTATAAATATGCCGAACTAGCAAACCTTTGCAGTGATCATCAGAAGTAAATAGAAAAATGAAGGTTTCGACAGTATTTCTGTTAGTGGCGACTTCTATAGTGTTGCTGTCAACTTCTGCGTCAGGTACATTCCTTTTTTTTTTCTATTCTAAATTCATATTTTTCTATATACTACCGCGGTTCAGTAAATACATAAAACTAGTATTCACATTTGACATAAACCAATCTATGTTGCCCCCTAGAAATTGTGAAACATTAAATTTGAATATTAATAGTAGTTCTCTACCTACTGATTCTGTGACAATAAAATTTTTAGGTCTAAATTTGGACACACACCTTAACTGGAAATGTAACTGTAAAAATATAATATCAAAATTGTCTTCAATAACTTATTTATTTCGAAATTTTAGAACAGTCCTAAGTACCGATCAACTCCTTTGTTTATACTATGCCCAAGTTGAATCCCGATTGAGATATGGTGTTTGTTTCTAGGGTAATTTAACTCAATCGTCCCATGTTTTTATTGCGCAGAAACGTGTTTTTAAGATATACGTTTGGTGTTTCAAGTACTCATTCTTGTGAAATATATTTAAACATTATAGAATGCTCACGTTGTCAGGCATTTATATTTTTGAAATATGTGTATACATATTCAAACACAAAAGCAAATTTGTGATAAATGACGAGTATCACAATGTCAATACCAGACAAACACATAATTTTCATGTACCATTTGCACGATTAAATTTAAGTACTCGTTCTCCTAACTTTGTAGGGCCTAAAATATGTCATTGTTTACCTGTGGAACTAAAAAATGTAAATAATGAGTTTTTATTCAAAACAAAATTGAAACAATATTTAATAAATAAGTGTTTGTATTCCGCATTAGAGTTCTGTCCTTCAACGTAATTTATCTTTGTGTTTGTGTGACAATTCCTATACATGTTGTTCATGTCTAAAAGGAAAATAAATTATTATTATTATTAACTAGATTTTTTAATTTCAGCAAAAAATATTATTTGTTACTTCGCAAGTTGGACTGTATATAGACCAGGAAATGGCAAATTTGATATAGAAGACATAGATACATCCTTATGCACACATATTATGTTTGGATTTATAGGTATTACAACCGAAGGAAGAATTTCGATTTTGGACGGATGGGAATCAAACGATGACGGATTAAGTAAGAAATCTTACAATATTTTCCTTTTATATTCAAAATTCACCCCTTAAATCATAAATTAGTAGATATTACTTCTTATACTTCCCTGTATAATGTTATTAATAAAATATCAATCAAATACGTTGGTGACAAAATGAGTACAAACTTTTAATTTCAGGGGGTTTTTCCCGCTTGGTTGACCTAACCAAGGTCAACCCAAACTTGAAGGTCTTGGTCAGTATGGGTGGATGGAACGAAGGATCTGAAAAGTACTCAATAGTTGCAGCTGATCCCGCAAAACGTAAAGTTCTTATTGATGAAGTTATACAGTTCCTTGGAGAACACAATTTCCATGGATTTGATCTCGACTGGGAATACCCAGCACTAAGAAATGGATCCGATATTGACCCCGTAAGATATTTGTTATATTTGATATTTTTTAATTGTTACTGAAGCATGCAAAATATTATGTTCTAATAAATATTATTTTTAGGCAAATTACGTGGAACTCCTCAAAGAACTTAAAGCAGCTTTATCTCCAAAAGGATACTTGTTGTCTGCTGCTGTATCTGGAGGAGTTGCTAATGCGGATATTGCTTACGATATTCCAGTTGTGAGCGAGTAAGTCTCTTTCACTTCTATATTTTGCCTTTATATCGGAGTACAGTTTAGATAGTTTTTTTACATCACTTTATTGCGTGACATATACAACAAGTAATAGTTTCTAGTACCAAAAGAAGATTTCATTTAAAATGTTTTTCAGTTTTACTGTACCCTTATCGAAATAATCGAAGATTAAGTTCTTTTCTAATTGCGTCCATCTGTATCCACTTCAGGTAATGGAATCCTACAGTGATAATGAACACTTCAAACATATCTAGAAAACACAGTCCAAAGTTACACTTTTCGGGTGTAAGAATTCTCAATTTCTCTATTGCGAGATTTAGAATATTTTTTATTGTTTTGAAGCTATAATGGAAAGCAGCTCAAGTAGTTATTCGTCTTTCGGTGTTTATGTCATAAATTGACCCAAATGCGATGAATATATTCTCATTTAATATAATGAATTTTCAGACTACTGGATTTAATCAACGTTATGGTTTACGATTTCCATGGTGCTTTCGAATCATTTGTGGGCCACACTTCACCACTGTCTGCATCAAGCAAAGATGATGCTGGAAATGCAACTCTCAATGTCGTAAGTATCAAAAATGAACATGAAAAAAGTTTTCTAGAAAAAAATTTTACCTTTCTTACAGAAAGCTGGTATCCAGCACTGGATAGACAAAGGTGCTGATCCAGCCAAGATGCACCTAGGAGTTGGCACTTATGGTAGAAGTTTCACTTTAGCTGATCCAAATAATGCAGAACTCTACGCACCAGTCCTTGGTGGAGGAATTGCTGGTCCATATACACGTCAAGAAGGTGTTCTAGGATACAATGAAGTAAGTTAAACCAGAGCGTCTAGACAACTTTGTGACACATCAACAAACATTTTCGGAATACAGTTATATATCCCCTTAATGAATTAAAGTAGATATATAGGTACATATATATGTATATACTAAACACTATCAAGTTTCATCGAAAAATAGTTTTACTGATGATTATAACCCAAATTTTTATTTAATTTCGAAATTCGCATAAGTTATCTTTATTTTCTTATTTCGACATATAAATTACTCCTCCGCAGATTTGTGAACTGCACAGCGACTGGACCTACATTTGGGACGACGAACAGCAAGTGCCTCATAGGGTGTCTGGCGATCAATGGGTTGGTTATGACGACGAAAAGTCTATCGCTCTGAAAGTAGAGTACGCCAATGAGAAAGAGTTGGGTGGCATAATGGTATGGTCCTTCGACAACGACGATTTCCGTGGTATTTGTGGAAGCGAAACTTACCCGCTTATGCGTACAATTAAGAGAACATTGAAATAATTTATTAATTTATTATGTACAAGGTAAATTTAAAATAAATCTTTTGTCAATAGCACTGATTCTGAAGTTAAGTCTTAGTCATTAAAAACGATTGATAAGTGATCTTTGTTATATATGAAAATATTTACCCTTTTTCTACTTAACTTACCCAAAAGCTGTTTAAAACAATTTATTATTATATAAGAAGTTTTTCTTTCCTATAAGAAAAAAGCTTTATATACATATGTATGTATGAAAACACTAGATTTTCGGCTATTCTGAGGTCATTCTAGATAATATAAAATTATCTTATTCAAATAAAGTTACGATTAGCATGTAATTATACACTTTTTTTTTGTAATTCAATCAAAATGTATATTTACAAAAAAATACTGCTTTACTGTGATTTTACAAAAAAAAAAAAATCTGAACATGTAACATTTCTACAGAGAATAAAAAGATTTATTAAAGTAAAGTACAATTTTGTAAATTAATTCAGAATATTATTTAAAATTTGTAATTAAACAGCATTCTTAAAGCATTAGTACAATAAAAAACTTGACACATAGTTTAAATTAAAAAAGGCAGTAACACAGGTAAGATTACATTAAGTACGTTTTTTTTGAGTACCATAAAATTCTTCTAAAATTTATGATGTCTTTACGTAGACTCAAGCTTTGAGACGAGGTTTGGTGAAGATTTCACTATAATCGTACCTTTAAAAAGTTAAAATCAGTAACTGTCTAGCAGAAAGGTTAAATGTAAGTACCTAACGTATTACGTAGAAGAAGCAAATAAAACAATGAAATATATATTAGTCGCGTATTTTTATTTACCAAGTATGTTATCAATAATAATTATCTCTTACAAATGTTTTGCAACACAAATACATTTTTTAAATACTACTAACACATCATTTATTTATCTTTCAAATTGTACATGTGATGTCCCAGTTGTAATGATTATTCTTCAAATTTAATTTATCTAGAATCGTCCGTCGCCTAAATGTTGAACTAGGAATGTTTTGACATAGCAATAGAAAATATTACTAATTACAGTGTAGTGTAAAGAAAAATTATTTTCTTTCTAAATACTAATATTAATTCTTTCCGAATACAAGAAAACTTTCGATACGATATTGTTAAGGACGGGATTTTGTACAAAAAATATCGCCCAGCGTGAGTCACGAAACGGGACCCCGGCAGGTGCTGCTCTAGCGGCCAACGCTTCAAGGTGTGTTNATATATATATATTTCCCGGCAATGGCGTGACTCTCCGCCAACATAAAAAAAATCCTCTGTTAACCCAAGACCAAGAGTTGACCGATATCATTTATTATTTCCCTATTTCATTTCAACAGCTGACTCTCAACACTGTACTCATGATAAGACTTATTTACCTAATAAGAGAAATCGTTTGATTGGATACTTCTTAGGACAAAACCAATTACATTACTTTATTCTCGCTCGTCCAAAAATTACAAAAAATAATTGTTACAACCAAAAAAAAATATTTTCCGTTTTTTTTCAAAATTCAAATAATTTATTTTTCAAAAAAATAATTAATTACTATAAAAAAACAACAACAAAAATTGGACCGATAAAATCCCGTATCACAATAAATACTGAAGAAAAAATTGTTATAAACCAAAAAAAGTATTTTGCGTTTCTTCAAAACTCAAATATATTTATTTTTTTCAAAAAAAATCAAACAGGCTAAAATAACATTTCTACACTGAAACGAGTTCTTTCTACTGAAATATTTCTGACGTTCTAACTCTATTAGTTAACAAAAAAAATTTCGAGGACACCGAAAACTTTTAGTCTCGACAAAATAATACATTCGCCCTTTTATCCTATCCAATGTAACTAATTGTATATAAAACTCACTCACTGTCACCTGTATAGAAAAATATAGTACAACAATAATAATCAAGCAATCAATCGTATGGTCTCCTCACCCAGAGACTATCTAGACATAAAATCGGATCCACAATTGTGTCCGAACACTACAAATTCGTACCTAGTTCGTTTTCTATGAACTCATAGTATAATAAATATCGTCCACGCTTCCTCAGCGAATAACGAAACAATTTAGTTACACGTCTATATCAATATGTACCACTTTCTACTCTTTTTTTAACGTTATTTCCCACCTATTTAACGACATTTCTCTTTTTTTAACAACTTTAAACCTTTCGGACGCTATTTTCTGAACCTACAGCAATTCTATCAATACTTTTAACAAGAGAAGTTCCTAGCAACCTATTTATAACAATTCTACCTTACTAACGGTGTTTTTAATTATCCCACCTTTCTAGTAGCACATTTTTATCATCCCACCGCTGCCACCAGAAATTTTGTAACAATAATACACCCCGTGTACGTACGGGATGTCGCTCGACAGAAAACCGTAGCGCAACCTTGCTACAGCTCCATAAAGGGCATACCTGCCGAGACGACTTTCTTAAGGTAGACTTCCGAACAACGCGGCAGACGGCAAACGGCAACGGCAGACGGCGACCGCAGTTGTCGCGACAGCAGACGGCATTACTTTGTACTGTGTTTTCCAATCAGCGTACTTCCGCGCCAAGCAGCATTGGCTGCGCGGCAAGTAACGACGTGTTGTGCCGCTACGCGGCAGGTAGGTTGACATGTATTTGCACAGTAGTGCTGCGTGCCGTCGAACATAATGGACGTGTTGGAAGGCGAAGACAGTGAACATTTAATTAATTTGGTATCTCAACATCCCCCATTATTTGATTGCAAGCATGCAGGTTATAAAGATCATGTATTAAAAGAAAATATTTGGAAAAAAATAGGCCGAGAACTAAATAAAAATAGTAAGTATCTATATATTTACATTAATTAAAAATGTTATAACTTAAGTAGTTAGTACAAATTTATTATTGTTTTAATACGTATTTATATGTCAATTACTCAATACGGTTAACAATGTTTTCTTGCCACAACACTGCACCTTGTTCGGAAAAAAAATAGTCTTTCAGTTTATCTCGAACCCATAAACCGTCACGATTTGCCAAACCACTTGTGGCCGCCATTCTGGCCATATTCATATTGGGTTCATATTCTTCATTAAGACGATAAAATGGCACTTGAGTATTTTCGAGATAGGCATCGCGTAAAATATTGTGCAAACAGCATGCAGTTACTATTAAGTCATCACAAGTTTCCGGCGAAATTCCTATAGGTGAATAAAACACTCTAAAAATTTGACATAATAACCCGAATGCATTTTCTGCAACTCGACGAGCACGACATAGCCTGTAGTTAAACATCTCCTTTTGGTGATCAAATGTTGCAACTCTTCGGGAATATGGTTTCATCATATATGTGCTAAGACCAAAAGCCTCATCTCCGACCAAAAAATGTGGCAAAGTGTCGTTTGTTCCTGGTAGATTTTTTGGTTCCGGAAGATTAAAATCGTTCTGAATTATTCGCCTTCCCATAGCTGATTTTTTAAATATATTGCTGTCCCCTTCTTTTCCATAATAACCTACATCTATTGCAATAAATTTACAGTTTGCATCTACTATTGCCAAAAGTACGATCGAAAAATAATTTTTATAATTAAAAAATAGCGACCCACTGTGTTGTGGTGATTTTATACGCACGTGTTTGCCGTCGATACTTCCGATACAATTGAGCATGTTCCATTTTTCCCAAAATTCTTTTTCAATGTTTTTAAAGCAACGTTGGGTAGGTGGCTGCATGGCAATTGTCGTAAGTTTTTGTCGTAGTAATTTTAAGACCTGCTTTACGATTCGTGAAATATAGCAGCTTGATATGCGGTACGCAAATGCTAATGATGCAAAACTTTCTCCGGTAGCTATGAACCTAAAAACGATTATTTGTTAATAATAATAATATAAGCAGCGGTGTTTTTTGTCATTATTATAGTGAAAAAAGTTTGCCCTAACTTTTTCCAGCGACAAAACGGAACATAACTTGTACGAATTTACACCTTATTTGTTAATAGTGATTTATGTATTCGTTAAATTGTCTTACCGAATTATACTCAAGTTTTTTTTGTCGAATTACTCGTCCTACGGACTCGTAATTTTCAGAGGCAGTTTTTTCATTAAATTGTCAGGTTACAAAATTCTCATTGAAATGTCAAATTTACTTCTACAAAAAACAGCTCTCGTGTAATTATAGGTGACAATATTTTCTTTTTAGGCGACAGCTGCAAGAAACAGTGGAAAACTATACGAGATGGCTATGTTCGTTTTAAACGTAAAAATAAACTTCCAACAGGGTCTGCAACCCCAAAAAATAGCCGTACTAAATGGCAAACATACAGATTGTTGTCGTTCTTAGATACAGTGTCACAAGAGAGACCTGGAATAAGTAACGTAGAAGATTCCGCTATTGAAGATGACCATAAGTCTACGCAAGACACTATTAGCAAGGCTCCTGTACAGGAATCAAACACAGAACAACCAAGCGCTACCATTAATTCCTCCCAATCAGAAGAAAACAACGAATGTTTACCATCTCGGGAAGAGGCCAACCAAGAAAAAAAATTAAACGTCGTCGCGTCACTACACAACAAGATGATGTCCTTCAATACCTTCGAGAAAGAGACAAAGCACGCCGGTCTGTTTTACAAAATATCCCTGAACAAAATAACGAAGATGAGATAGCCTCCTTTGCCACCCATATGAAAGACGTTTTAAAAACATTGCCCCCTTTATTACGAATTAAGGCAAGACAAGAACTTTTTCAAGTTCTTACTAAGTATGAGATGATGGCTCTTGAGACTCCTTCCACAGACATATCCACACTTTCTAGTTATGCTACACCATCCCAAGGTGCATCAAGACCCACTACAAGCATGTCAAGCCACTTTAGAGAGTTTGAGATTTATTCTCCAAACAGTAATTACTCGGAGCCAATAGTGACACAGGAGACAGTTTCAATAGTGCAGGTAGACAATATTCTCAACAATTATCCTAACTGCAGCGGAGAACAATTGTTTCTAACTAATCGTATATAAGAAAAATCTTACCTTAATGTCAGGAATAATTTTTCTTCAGGCGTTATTACATTCCTTGTAGTTTTTGGTGTAAGTTCCTGATAAATTAAAGTTAGCAAAAAATT